ATAGCCATGACATAAAGCTGTTGTAAGGAGAGAACACATCCCTAATGCATTATGTAACTATGGGATTAGATCCTCAAATTAATTTCATTTAAAAGACAAGCTATAAAGACAGAAAGAGACAGTGCCTTTCTCATTTCAGCTACCAGATCCATCCAAATAGACATATTCCTTGCCAAATTAGTTTTCATTAAGAAGAATAAGCTATATATGTTTGTAACATATATTGCACACAGTATTATTATAACATCAAACAAGCTTTCAACCATTGCAAGTGTTTTAAGCTGCAATAATAAAGAGGGCATGAGGGAATTGCTTCAGATTTTTTTTTAATGAAAATATTCTCATAAACTTTCAATAAGCTTTTTGTTATCTATTCTGCTTCATAGAAAAATATGCAGGGGTGCTGTTTTCCTCCCAATGTGAAGTGCTTTCTTAGGTTAATGACTCTGAGTATTTAAAATCAGAGCAATCGTTGTGTTTTGTTGTACCAACAGTAGAAGCCTCATTGAGTTAAATGGGTTTCACTACATTATCTACTGGATTAGCAAACCGGTTAGGAACTGATGTGAGAGCTTTTACTTTAAGTTGGATAAATGCTTTCATTTCTGTATATTAACCTCTTAGTAGTGCTGTCACTGCCAGCATTACTTTCAAACAAATCATGCAGTATCTTGCTCTTCTTCATCTTGTGCTTTCTGATTCTTTTCAACCTCTTGAGGCAGCAACAGTTATTTTTTAACATAAATACAGTAGTCTGCATAAGTGCCCCACAGAAAGCACTCATGAATACAGAATGGTACTTTCTCTTCCGTTGTCAAGGCCAAAGTAGAGTTTTACAAGCCCTTGGGCACTGAATAGGCAGGATTTCATTATGGGATGAAATCTCTGAGGTCACTTTGATTTTCCTTCTAATGCATTTTATCTTACAGTTCAATAGTTGGAATGTCTCTTTTGTCCATTTATAGAAGCTCCAATTTCTGTATATCTACATTTTATTAACACTTCCCATTTAGAATGATTACATAACACATATCCCACTCTTTTTCTCACAGACACACCAGTCTATAGAGCAACAGTGAATTGCAGAAAGGAACACAAATGCTTTCAGGCATAGCACAGAAAAAGTGTCTTCTGATCTGTCACATACTCCCCCCACCCTTGATGCTAGTACATCCCATCCAAAGTGAGCATTCAACTATCATCAAATTTAGTTTATTTCTGTTTATTAAGGGCATCATGAAATCAGAGTTGAATAGGGCATTTACTTTAGACATTAATAGATCTAACATATTAATCTCTGATCATTTTTAAGTATGATTTTTAAATGGAAAAAAAAAAAGTAAAGCACACCCAAAAGTACAGAAGATTCAAATTTATGCAAAACTCCAATCATTACACCATACTCCTATACTGAAGTTTCTCCTTAAAAGAGTTTGAATGGCATCTGACTTTTCTATTTCTGGATCTGGAAACAGATTTAAGAAAATCCCACTCTTCACGCTGGAGGTGCTTTGTCTTGTGCTACTCATGCAAGTGCAGTAACAGTAGCTGAAACACTTGTTCTCCCCCTCTGAGTCACCTTGTTGCTGGAATGGGCGCAATTGCCGTATGTACACTCACAGTGCGCATTTCTGACTTCCTGCAATGTTTTGAGATTTTTTTTCCCCCTCTTTATTTATGCTTCTGTCTACAACATTGTGATAGTCTAGCGTTCTGGCTTTGGATTTTTTTGAGAAGATTGCTGACACACTTTATTTTGATCAATCGCAACTGAGTTGTGCACCTTAAAGATCTGCAGTCAAACTACAGAAAAATTCACTGAATAAATCTTTTAAAGAAGTCAGCAGGGCATGCAGCCTATGACAGTCTCCCAGATGAAGAAACAACTAATTTTGTACGATAACCCCATGTGATTACTCAGCTGGCTTCAGTGTAAGGCATTATGTCAGGTGCACAATTACAAACTATTACTGCTGAAGTAATTAGATTAGACACTGCCTTTATAATATCTGCAACTGCCTTCTTGCTAATTATTCTAAATAACCAGCCACTGCACACTAGAGGGACTAGGTCAATGCTTTGTTCTCTGCTCTTTAATAACTTTAATTCCAAAATCATGGATTATTTTCTTATGATTTACACTCCACAGGAACTTGCTGCGAGTATTTCTTCAGCTGCATTTAGTCAATAATTTCACTCCTAGCAATAGACACTGACCCTGACAGGCAAGGTAATAAACTAATAGCTAGAGAAACCAGCAGCATACAAAAAGGTTAGATTCTTCTTTCACAACAGTAGTTAATCTACTGATTTAAAAACAAAGATTATTTCTGATTTATGCAAGTGTAACAGAGAAGAATAAGTCACTATGGCCTTTCTAAAGGGTGTAGTACTGTTGTGGTGGTACTGTTCAAAGTGCTGCACAAAATATTTCAGAATTGCCTACCATCTTGCCTTGCCTATGAAAGTGCATCATCCAAGAGTTACATTTACACTTCCATTGCTTCTGAGGCCAGACAACAATTAGATTAGGTGTAAATTGAAAAAGCTCAGTTTTAAGCTGAAAGGAGAGGTAGAAAGTGAAGTTAAGATACATCACGGACCTGACCCAGGATCATGCAAAAAGCAACAACTTGATAAGGAAAAGGCATTGTAAAGTCATGTTTCTGCTGTTTTAATTCCACTCTGCACTTAATCATTATATAAAACAGTAAGAATGACTCAGAAGAGAGCAGGAGGGGTTGAACTTCCTTTGGGAGAAAGTGATTATGACCAAAAGTGCACTTAGAAAAAAAAAGTGTACTTCTGTAATGTAGCATTTCATCAACATCAGGAATAAACACCAAGAAAAATAAAATAAAAAGAGGAGAAGCAGAAGAAAAAAGAGAAGCCTGATTACCTGCATGTATTGAAGGAGATGCAGAATTTCATTACCTTTCTGGATAAGGTGAAAGTTGAGTGATACTTTGCTTTAATTCTGTATGTGAGAGTCTCAGCAACTATGGTAAATAGCACCACATAAGTACTAGCTGGATGCACTTACCTAGTTGGAGGATAAGAATTTCTGTCTCTCCTGAAGGTTTTTTCTTCTGTAAAACTCAAAGATATAGGAAAGAAATCAGTATCATTATATCAATTTTGCAGATGATGCAGTGAAATGAATTAAGATTCCCCAACAAGTCAGTGGCAAGATCTTGGAGCAGCATCCAGATGTCTCAGTCCAGGGCTAGACTGGTAATAACTTTGTGGAACAATTATAGGTTCATGTCAGTTTGCACTTTCCAGCACACTGTTGGCATATAGTTTTTTCCATTATAACAGAAACTAAAGATTGAGGTGAACCTAAGACTGACTTATGATGGGAGCATATTTCCTATTATAGGTCAGTCCCAGATAATTTTCTTCAGAGCATTCTCTTACTTCAGTGATATCGAACAAATCTTATTTTAAGTTATAAATCTGTGTTAAAATGCTCTGTCTTTCAGTGCTGATCATATGAAATCAAACCATATTTCACAGAGAAGTAAGGAAGGAGGAACATGCGCACACTCCACTGTGATTAAATGCTTGTTTCATCCTTATTGCAATTACAACTATTAATCATCAGCCATTACATTCAAGATTCTCATCTTCAAAGCCCAGAGCAGCTCTTCTCTTATCTACATATTTTGGCTTGTTTAATCTGGCACTTCCCCATGCTCCATTCCATCATAGCTTTCAGCCTTGTTTTGCTTCCTTCTTTCCCTCCCTCTCTCATATCACATTTTCTTCTGTGTCAATCCCTATATTTGAAACAACCTCTCACTTTTAAGGCAACAAAATCCTCAACAAAAATTTCCCTTTTAAACTGTCTTGCATTGGTTTCCTACACTAACAATATTTAAGTTGTTTTAATCCATATCCCAATATATTTACTGTGGAGTTTTTTAGAGATTAATTATGAAACTTGCATTTGTTGTGAATACTGCATTCATTTGCTGAGTTCACTGGAATTACTTACAGAACAAAGTGTTATTTTGCATGAGATGGGTGAGAGGATCTAGTCCTGAATTAAGGAGTGTGTATGAGTACCCACAAATTTCACTGTCAAATAATGGAAGTGAAGAGGCTTAGCATATTAGGTCAGCCTCTGAATAAAAATGGCAAAAATATCCAAAGCAACTGAGTAACTTAAAGCCATTTACGACATTTTTTTACTTCACTCAGCTATTTAGGGACAGATGCAAAAAAGATATTTTCAGAAGCACACATGGTAGATGCTCACTGAAAATTAACAGAACAAATTCCAAAGTCCTTCCTGAAAATGGAGTCTGAGTTCCTGCATTATCAAACACCTTTAAATTTTTTCCCAATCCAACATAGGAAGCCTGAGCTTTCCCTGTGTTTCTAAATCACTTTTACCTATTTTGGGGCCTATTAAACTAATAAACATTACTGTGTTTAAGTGTTTAAACTTTCATTAGCTTAGATCTGAAATGTAATACAGTTATTATTAACAATTCAGTAGAAGTTTATGTAGGATATTTTATTTCATGCTGTGACTAAGAGCACTGAAATGTTTTCAATACTTTATGCAAGACAAATAATAATTTAAGAAAAAGCCTCCACTCCCCTCTATTCCCTTTTACTTTGTTAATGAGATTTTTATGATTAAAAACTCCAACTTTACCACTACTGTTAAACCTAGACCATCCCACAGAAGGGCAGATGCAGAAAAACACTTGTGTGGAAATGAGGAATTAGCTCTTCCATTACAAAAATGGAAATGTTCTGAGTGTGAAAAGTCAAATCTTCATTACCAATCAACCCTTAAAGTAGAGGAAAACCGTGGTAATTTAAGATTTAAACCTTTGCTGCAAGTATGTACATATCAAAAATTGTCTCATGGTAACACAGGAAATAAGGAGTTGGGATTGTTTGGCAGAGTACAATTGTTATGGTATCAAATCAGACATAATAAATTGCTGCTTTTAGTAGGAACTGATAGCAGGACTTTCTTAACTTCAGAAATGTCTCGAGCTCACTGGAAAATATGTTGAGATGAGATGGACTAATACAGTTTCAGCAAGGGCTTTGTAGTCCGTATGTATTGTTCAATTCATAGCTCTTCACGTTAATTTTTCTTTTTTTTTTTTTTTTTTTTTTACATTGTGTATGCAACCCAGTATATAACATTGACTGCTGCAAAGGCTGCTGGGAACACGGCTCTGGCATATATATCAATGGTATCAGCATCAATGGGCTTAAAGAGGGACTTCAGACCACTCTTTTTATCCAGTTTCATTACTTGCTGCTGTTTTGTCTCTCCAGTTTCTATTTCTATTGTGCCATATGATCCAGGCAGGCTTCTGGGAATTCGGTGCTGCCTATTGGAAATGGCCAGTTCCTGGTTCACACCAGCTATGGAAAGGGAAAACAGAACAATGGCATTCTTCACATTTATCTGCAAAGGAAAGAGGAGAACCTGTAATAGCAGTTTATAGGGCAAAGGTAGTGTACTTGATCCAAGCTAGCCATGATCCTGATATGGTGAAATACCTATGAGATCCGTAAGTGCTGAATTGTATTTATCACTTGCTTTGGCAGAAGGACCACTGAAAGACTCCGTGCTACCACGTCTAAATTATGGTTATAATTTTACATGCTGTGAATTACCAAGGCACCATTGAGACAGCATGCTTAGGCCCTCCTGACTGAAAACAATTGACTGACTTTAAGGAGACAGTTATCCCATTGTGTGGCCAAAGCCAAAAGGCAATTCTGAGGCTCTTGTTAAAGCTGAGAGAATGTGGAGGTGAGACAGAAAATGAATATGGATCAGTCATATCCTCTACAACTTAATAAAATGAAGTAATAATAATTAATACCCAAGGTGCCTGAGAGTTAAAAAATATGTAGGCCTGGACCACAAATTGTGAATTGTCAAAAAAAACCCTGTTCCTTAATCAATTCACTCTGCTTCATCACTAACATGCATATATGTACGTGAAGAAAGCAGCAAAGCCATCTGGAGTCCCTGGAACAAATTTCATCTGCAGACTCCTTTGTTCAGTTTCACTGGGCTTCATTTCTACATAACTTACATCCATGCTAATTATACCTGTATTTACCTTATGCAGCTTGGGTGTAAAAAATATAATCTCCAGGGAACAACACTGAAGACTACAGGCCTAGTTTTTGTTTTGCGGAGAGCATTTTATTATGTGTAGCAGAGCTAAAAGAGTCTTAGCAGAAGCACCTACCAAAGAATACCTTCCGAGAAAAGGCCTTTCTTCCCCGTCTCATGTAATACTGTCATTAACGACTTTGCTCTGACCCTACAGGAGTAACTCAAGGTTACTGTAACTTACACTAAGGACTGGACAAATATCAAAGGGTCTAAATGTATTCTCAAAGTATAAGACATACAAATCTGGCTCAAGGCATACTTTGCCTCCCTTCTTATTCATTCTCTCTTATTCTCCATTTCCTATCTTAAATACAGCAACAAACCATGTAAGAATATGTTGTCTTTAGTGCTAACCATGCTGCAAGGGGAAATTAGCAGTTGCATTTTGTTGCTGGTCATGTTAATGTGACAAAAGAATTAACCATGATTTTTTTTTTTTCAAAAAGGGTAGAAGAATTTGCTTCCATAGTAGAAAAAGGTCATGATGCTGGGTGATTGCTTTTGCAAAGTTATTCAGTATTACGCTTACTTACCTCTCCACTCTGCCTTCTTGCCTTTATCTTGTTCTTTTGCTTTTTCATGTAGTCAGCATTGAAATGTGCAAATGCATATTCTACTAGTGCGGCAAAGACAAACACATAGCAAATCCAGAAGTAAACATCAAGTGCCTTGATGGCAGATGCTCGTGGAAGTGAAGATCGGGCACTGACCATCAGTGTAGTCATAGTAAGAACAGTAGTTATACCTGCAGTGTAGTGTGAGAAATTTTATTTTAGGTTTCATGGTATACACTATAATAAGTGTATTTACTAATCTGAAGCTGAGGAGTATTTTCACAGTAGAAGCCCCTTAATAGTGTGGCTTCTGATTTTCAAAACAGGGGAGCTTGTAAAAAACTGTGCGTTTGTATGACTAAGGCAGCTCTGAACATGTTATCCTTGGTTTTGTTCTAGATCAGGACAAACAAAACCAGAAGACTTAGCCCTCAAAAACTTTTGCACCTGGTTTTGCAACCCTTACTCAGGCAAACATATCCAGAAGCTCTAAGAACACTTTTTTGTTGCTGTCCCAGTTCCTTCAGATCAATTCTTTCACACATCTGCCTCACATGCATTATTGCTTTTAACCATCTGTAGATGGTTATATTCTGTTCTTTACTGAGACAGCTGCTCTGATAGCATGACGGAAATTAAAACATGAGGGAAATCTTGTAAAGGACCCTCTCTTCTGTAAATATAAACATAGTATTCATAAATGACCTTCACAGAAAATGAGCATTATTAGAGAGCATAATTTCAACTTCAGCATACCCTTCCCTGTTAGCTCCCCAAACTGTCTATTTTACCTAGTGACACTCTGGCAGGCACAGCTGACTGACTGATCCAGAAGGATACCCATGACATGGCCACTAGTAGGATAGAAGGAACATAAGACTGAATGATGTAAACTCCTCGATTGCGCCGAAGGTGGAAGTGGAGACTGAGCCTGGGAAACTGACCTGCTGGAAAAAAAGAGCAGACAAAGAAAGATTCTGACTGTGTGAATTACAGTTGAACTGATATTCAAAATAACATTTCTTATAACGACACAGATTTACATTCTTAAACATATTTCAGACAAGGATCACAAAAAGCTTTTTTGAATGTTGTTCAATTAGTCTTCATAAACCCTACACATTCTCATTAGCACTGTTAGCTAAGAATAGGTCAAATGACTTGTCTCAGGTCATATCAATGCCAGATCTGAAAATAAAATCATGAGTCTTCTCGAATAACAGTATTGCTTCAAAATGTGTACTGTCTTATCATCTGCTGTAGAAAGTCCTCCAGATACTAAATTTAGATTTTTTAAAAGGCCAAGTTAATTTCAAACTCAAAAAAGAGCTTAGAGGAGATGTGCAGCATAAATGAGAATCTGAATACATGAAAGAGGATGAAAAATCGGCAGGAAAGAAATTACTCCAGTCTTTCACAAACATTGCAATAAACCCAGTGATACGCATACACGCCACTGACTTCTACTGGATAGAATTAGAATGAGCTGACTGTACATCATAAGCCTCATAACATCAGGGCTAATGGAAATTTTTCTTTACCCAAAGTTGCAAATTAGGTCAAGAAAATGTGAGCTATACCTCAAGTGTTTTTTCTCAAGTGCTGTCTTGCTACTCCATGCAGTATTTTGTCAAACATACAGAGCTAAAGGACATAATATGTTACAGTGGCTACCTGAAGGCTCAGCAAAGGTTGGCATTTTTTGCAAATGTAAGTTAAAGAAAACTCTTATAAGACACCTGACATGTTCTTAAATTAGTTACTTAAGAAGAGGGATTTTCTATTATAGATATAGGAGGTTTCCCTATGCAGGAAAAAGTCAAATACTGTCCCTGAAATGAAGACAGATCCTGTTACCAGATTTGATGTTCATCATTTCTGTTGTGAACTGGTAACTGGTAATTGTGAATTGAGCAAGCTGCAGCTTATCCAGCCCATGGATCTCCTCCTGGTTTTCTGACCAGTGGTAGACGATGTCCTCTGAAGAGTAGCCATCTGCCAAAAGAAAGCTGAATAAACATAAAGTTTGAGGAAGAAATTAAGAACTTAGAGGACACATAGTGGAAGTCCTCCAATTCCTCTGCTACGCTGATTTTCATCGGTCCTGTTGCAAGCATGCTGTGATTCAGTCTGGATAATTCACTGTCCTGGCAACATCAATGTTGCCAGTGTCACATTGGGGTAGTTTTCCTACAGGGAGAATAATCCAAGTGGATTCACTCTGACTAGCAATATGTGGTATGGCACAATGCACTTCAGAGTCATGAGAAACATTCAAATTATCTCTCAAAAAGCTCATTTGCATACTGACTTAGAGTAGCTGTTACCGTGGCACTCGAACTAACCTACTTACCCCTGCTTTGTGGTTGGATTTCAAAGTCACAGAAGTTTCTGATAGTAAAAGACAGTAACTACCAAATCTAACCTGTCTATGTCTGAAGACAGGTCAGAGTGCAATTCTGTACTGCAAGTCTATCTCCAAGTTCACAAATTGATTTTATGAGATAGGTGCTCGGTACCAGTCAGGGAAACAGATTTCCTTTGTTAGGGATTCCCCCAGTGTCCTCAAGAGGTAAGCATCCAGTTGGCTCTGTATCTCCCCTTGCAAGCCTTACAGTGCTTTTACAAATGGACACTGCATGAAAGTAAAGTATACAGCCAAATTGGTCCTATGAGTCCCCACTCTTGGAAACAACTGTTAGGCCCCCCCAGGCTTAAAGTAGTTCAATAAGAAAACAATGCCTATGCGAACTGCCTATGCAGTGTTTTTCTGTCAGTTCTAACAGCTTTTGAACTTCCTCAGTATTTTGAAACCAAAGTGACAAAAAGGTAAAGGTTGCAAAGATTTCAAAGATGCTAGATTCTTGAAAGTTTTGTAAGAAATGGGCACAGAGAACAGAAAATCAAACTTGTGCATCCAGTTAGAGAACAGCAGTATAACTCAGACCCATGTCCATGCTGAGATGCACCAGCTAGCCTGACAATCACCACGTATACCAGCCTATTAATGACTGCAGTTTGGCATCGGTGGGAGCTGGAAGATAACTGCTAGGGAGAGGTGCAGGGCACCAGGGACGTGAGAGAAGGGGGGAATATGTATGAGGGGATTTATGTAATATGCAAATCCATAGGAAATCGATCTTTGCTAGTTTTGCTGTTAACGGACAACTTGCTACTAAATCATTCATTTGTTTAAAGAGGCTTTATTTCTACGTGTTTGTTTCACTGAATTCAAAACACTCAAATTCAATTAAAAAATTCAACCACCACCAAAACTCCCTGCAGAACTTGCTGGGAAAGAGAATTGATGGCTGGTTCACTGTCTGCTGCCTCTGCATTTGGTGATTACCTAAGTAAAACTGTAGATTGCTATTTTTTACAGGATAAAATGGTATTGTGGTTAATTGCCTAGAAAACAAAGTCAGTGCTAAAAAAGAAAAAGATAAATTTGCATCAATAGGCCAGTGGATTTGCTCAGAAACTGCTATTCACAAACCTCTGCAACCCTCAAGACCTGTAGACCGCAAAAGGTCAGATTCATTGCCATTTATTAGGTGGTCCCTGCTTGTGTCAGTGGTGAATTTTATTCAAAAGTATTAATGCTCATGGGAATTATATGCTGATCATAGATCAAATACAGGTTGGACAAAATATAAATTCATTCTTCACCCTCCTTTGTGAGGACAAATGAATTTAAGCCGTATTCTGATTGGTTTCTGTGTAACAGATACAGGGATGCCTAGGCAAACTAAACAGCTATGTAAGGGTTAGTCACAATGGCATTCATTAAAAGCAGAGAATTCTTTCTTTTTCCTATTTTCTCATAAAGAAAAAATAGCACATCAAATTTTGCCTGTGGGCTTCTCTACTTATTCTCACTGGATTTGATGCAAACCTCAGTAATGCTAGTGACTGTCACAATTGCACTAGGTTTTACATGAAGCACAAAGTTCCAGACATTTGTAGGTTGTTCATTTGTACAATCCAGGACTATAGGTTGTTCATCTTCATTAAATTAAATCCTATAGTTTTGAATTGGATCAGAGCTGAACTGGAATTGAAAAGTCCATTGTCTAATGCCCAAGACAGAGAATGAAGGGATTCATGCTTGTACCCGTTATTTCTACATCCCAAGGCACCCCTTACATCGACTAAAGCAGAATCATTCCAGCAAGCTCCAGCAAGCTAAGTACCATATATGCAGGCTTCAAACAAAATACAGATTATATGAAACACTGTACTCAGCCCTTACAGCTCTCCAAATCCAACATGCATTCTTGCTCATCCATTGGATACTTGGAAAGGTCCATGTCACAGGCCACTGTTGAGGTAATCCTGTTCCAAGCAACGTGAAGACCAGTTAGTTGCATTCGGACAGAGCCTTTTCCTCAGAACTCAAAGACTAAATGGATGTACTGGCTTTGGCTGGGATAGAGTTAATTTTCTTTGCAGTAGCTCGTATGGGGCTAGGTTTTGGATTTGTGCTGAAAACAGTGTTGATAATATAGAGATGTTTTCGTTATTGCTGAGCAGTGCTCAACACAGAGTCAAGGCCTTTCCTGCTTCTCACCCCACCCTACTAGCGAGTAGGCTGGGGGGCACAAGAAGCTGAGAGGGGACACAGCCGAGACAGCTGGCCCCAGCTGACCAAAGGGATATCCCATACCATATGGCATCATGTGCAGCATATAAAGCTGGGGGAAGAAGGAGTAGTCAGGAGATGTTCGGTGTGATACTGTTTTGTCTTCCCAAGTAACTGTTACGTGTGATGGAGCCCTGTTTTTCCTGCCTTCCTGGAGATGGGAAGTAGTGAATTAATTCCTTGTTTTGCTTTGCTTGCATGCGCGGCTTTTGCTTTGCCTATTAAACTCCCTTTATCTCAACCCACAAGTTTCTCACTTTTACTCTTTCGATTCTCTCCCCAATCCCATGGTGGGGGGGGCACTGAGTGAAGCAGCTGTGTGGTGCTCAGGTGCCAGCTAGGGTTAAACCACAAGGGGAATCTTCGAAACCTTAATACTAATACAGGAAGCTATTTTCAAAATCCTTATGGCTATTGTCTTTACTAAGTCTGTGGGAAACCCACAGGTGGGGGGAAATTGAAGAAAGGTCAAATGTCTAATGTCACGAAGACACTTCAGCTACTTCTGATGATAAAAAGGACTTTTTTGAGTCAATGCTACTCCTTTCCACTGCCCCCAAGATCACCTTATGGGTGACTTCAGACTTATGATTTCAAAGGTGCACACCCATTAATTTTTAGAACATTACACAACTAACTTTAAACACAGGTACTGAGTTCTAGCAAGAACACTCTTCCAAAGTGAGGAAATACTACTTTCTCCATTTGAAAGATGGGGAAAGTTGAGCCTAGATCAGGCTCATAGTTGCCTGGGAAAATAAGTGAGAGAGTGGAGAACAGAATCTTTGCTCTGTATTCAGCATCTCCTTGCCTGGTGACCAAATAGTTATGAGATGCTTATCTCCCATTAAGGACATTCTGAAAGCGATCAGTGATGATGCAGTGGAAAATGTGTTAGTGTTGCAAAAGATACCTTCCTGGCAGTGTAATCCTTTTAAAGCAAAGGGATCTCTGATAGGTGTCACTAGTACTTTCATCTGTTTTAAATTAATAATTATTTTAGGAAATCATCCTAGGAAAATTCAGTGATTACTTTATATTCTGTTCAAAAAGTTAACACATGATAAGAGTACTCTTGCACCCTCTCACTCACCTGATGCTGTATAAAATGACTCCATCTGGCTGGAGCCTGATAAGTTTGTTTTCCACGGTCACATCATGGAACCAGGCAGACTTGGCATTTACTATGAAAGTATCTGGCAACCAGAGCTTGTCCACAAACCGGCTGTCTAAGCCCAAAGTTTCATTGGTGTGGTTGTAAGACAGCCGGTCATCTCGCCAACTCTGGTGTAAAAACACCGTCATGGTATATTCCTATGACGAGAGAAATCCCAATTAAAAAGTGATGCTAAACAAACACAATGATAATGCCTTGGGACTTGGTCAAAAATCATTTTATTAGCCTAGAAATGTATTAACTGTTTCCTCTGCAAATAAGTATTTTTATACTTAGTCAACCATAGAGTTGCCCAAGCATTTTAATTTCTGTCATATCCTTCTACCGTGGATAAACCCAAGATATCAAAAAGTGATTCAATATCAGTGCTATATATAACATCTTGCAAGAGTTACATATGTCTTAATGAAGAAAATCAGTTTATTTATCTCCACAAGTACAACTTTTGTTTTTGAAGGTTCTTTTAAAGAAAAACTAAAAATTAGCTGAAGTTATGTATCTGTAATAAAGCGAAAGGATGGAGGGAAAGTCAAAGTTTTGGTTTTAAAATTAAATCTATTGTGTTTCAGAAATGCAGTTAATTCATGCCGATGTTTGTTTATGTGACTTGTAAGTTGTTGTACTCCACTGCTTTACTGAAAGGTCTTTACACAAAAAAGAGGAGCCAATTGTTCCCATAGCTTCTTTTTTGGAAGTATCTGTGATGAAAAGGAATTTGAACAGAAGTTGGAGTCAATGCTTAATATTAGTCTTTCTGTTAATAAGTGCTGCACAAATCCAACCTTGCTAACTGTAGTAAGAAATCTCGGACTCATACACGGCTAGATTCTTGTAATTGTCAATGTCTGCCAGAAGAGACTCTGACTATGTCTTAAAATACAATGTTTGCGCTTTGCAGTATCTTCTTGTGGTAATTTCTCCACTCCAAACATGCTGGAGATCAACTGGCTCTCTATTTAGTTTTCTACACTTTCTATCATTGCAGTACATACATTCACAACTTAGTAGGTTTAACTGATAACATACCATGTTCACTTCTGAGATGTGATCAATGCTGGCTACTTCAATTGCAAGAGCAACATTAACAGGAGGACCTGAGAAAAAATGTTTGAATGGGGTGATTTATGTTATCATAGCACCTATAAAAATATAGATGACCCAAGACTGTTAATTCTTTCATACAGAGTGAATTCATAAAAGCGTTTTCCATGATAAAGTACACTTAACAAGTAAAATCTACCTCAGAGCAAGAGATTTAAATCTTTTACAGATTGTGTCCTCTATTTCCAACAGAACACCTCGCTTCAGTGATAAAGGACATGAGATGCAATCACGACTACTGAATATTATGGAATCGCTTCAGGAAACCATATTACCTAGTTTAAGACAGCGTGGCTTCAAGCAAATGCAGAAATTATTGCCACTTTATGTAATCCAAAATTCCTTCAACTTAGATATCAGTGATTTAAGAACTGTATCAGCAAGAAGACTGTGTTGCTATTTCTGTTGTACAGTCTGTCTTTTTTCAAGATCAAGCAAATTGTTGATTGTTATTATGTCCAGTATCCAGGTGATAGATAACCACAACCTTTTAATCATGTAGAGGATGAAGTTCACATAAACATCAGAGAGTAGAAGGATTGTAAGAAAAAAGACACATTATTCTCAAAGTCTCACCTCCAATCCCAGGCCTGAAATTACGTGCATAACCCTTCATCAAGTCATCCAGGTTGGGTAACCAGGATATTTCAATGTTGGAACCTATGTAATCTCCGATGTCATTCATAGCTCTAGGTAAAGAGAATAAGTATCTTTTAAAACTTAGCCATGTTTACAAACAGAAAAATAACAAAAAATGGAAGACATTGACTTCCACCTACAGTATCATCAGCTATATTGGTAATTTAGTAGAAAAATACTGTGTATAGATATGAAAACTATTTCAGATATTTCTGTTTAAATCAAAGCATATTTCAGGCAAGAATATGGCCTCTTCCTAAAATACAAGCACATACTTTTTCAAGTTTTTTTTCTTAAAAAAAAAAAGAAGGAAAAAAAAGACTTAGAAATTTAAAGAAAGCATGAGGGAAACCAAGATACTTTGTATAGTGCATAAAATGCATCTGTGGATGCTGAAATTCAGCTGCCTGGGTAGCAGGACACGGCAGCTGTGACAGCTCCTAGTACCACTGTGGAACAGCTGAGATCAAGGCGGCTGGCATATTGTCAGCTTTGATGGGAAAACAGTAAAAATTACATAGCTGGAATTTGGATTTAACATCTTTGATACTGTGAAAAGTACCATTTGGGCCTCAGAAATACGAAAATAAATGCTAATAGAAGGTGTACAAACACCTGAAAACCACAAAGTTATGGTCAAAAAGGAGATCTCACTGAAAAAGTGAACAGCTGAAAGCATGGAAGCACAAAAGGGGGCATCTCCACAGCCCCCACCCAGCACAGAGCTGCCTGTGGGCCAGACCCAAACCTCGGAGGGAGTGCACTGTGGCAGTGGAACTCGGGAGGCTGTCCATGGCGCCCAGAAGTTCTCCCTCATTCAGAGATGAAGAGGTGGCTGCCTAGAGCCTCCAGAAACCTCGAGAGGGGCCTATCGTTCTGCAGTGTTGAGAGTGGTGAGCCTGAAGGATTTGGCCGTTGTCCTGGAACCTGAGGTGTGCTCCACAATCCTAGAAATGCAGGGGCAAGAATCCTGACTATGGTCCTGGATTTGGGGCCATTCCTGTCCATGGTGTTGAGCAGTAAATGACGTATCCATAACACTGAAATGTCTCTCCCGCTCCACCTTCCCACAGGTGCCCCAGAGTTTTGGGCATGTATGGATCATTCCACCATGCTGGGAGGCCCTGTGCTCACCTGCTTGTGCTGTTTTGCACTTGCCAGCATCAGGCAGTGTGGGTGCTTGGCCATCTGTCCTCAAGTCAGGAGTGTGGGATGCCATAATGCACACATCCTTTTGTACTCACTCTTAGGACCCGGGTGAGCCACCAAACAGGCAGTAGGTTTTGTTTGGGAGGTAATATTTTGCTTCAGATTTGTGCAGCATGCCACAGTCCTAGAAATAAGGCTCCATCTCTCAGGTGCTAGGCATATGCTTCTTTCTGATCCAGTGATGCTCCTTGAAGACATTAGCACAGTTTCTTGTTGCCATTTTCCACCACCTGGCAGATGCTAGCCCCTCAACCCTCCTGGTACAAGCAGTTATGTGGATATTCCATAATCTCTTGTGAACAAAGGCAAGCTTATACTGTCTTTATTAACTGTTTAAACTGAGCTGGCAGACTCCATTTGAAGCAGATCTGTGCCTGCTCACATAAATCCTCTTGACGGCACTGTGATTGACATGACAGGAATAGATAAATGAAGGACTGTGACGATGTCTACCACAACTATTCACATAGAGAAAATTTGCCAGTGGTTTGAGAGGGCCTGAATCTGAATGCAAGTACTATATCGAAACGATCTGAGCACTATTACGGCATGTTCCACGGAGTCCAGCAATAAATATGGCATTTGAGAGATATATATCGCTAGTAACTGAAGAGAAACTCGTTAAACGTTGATGGAAGGCTGCAGAGTAATATCCATAAACATATTCTGCCTCGGTACTTACATAACTTTCTCAGAGTGTTCATGCGACATTGACCCACATAAAACACATGTTTTTTGTCTCCAACATATGCCAGTCTGGGAATTCAGCTCAGCACATGCAGTTACTGCTAGCACAGTAGCAGAGTACCCTACAATAACCAACTCTTCTTTTCACAGGGGACTGAAAGAAAAATCTTTGATTGCCCTGGTCAGAAAATTCTCACCTCACATGTATGTAGTCAATTATATAAGGAAGCAGTTCTGGGATTACAATATATAAATGTAAGTCCTGAGCAGCAGGGACACTGAAAACTTGCATTAGCGGAGTTGTCAAAGCTTAAGTGACCTTAAAACATAGGGACACTGCTCCGAAGTGAAGCTTCATTAGTTCACAACAAACTGTTAAAATTAGGGTTATATACTAAATTGCATTTATAACGTTTCCTTGCCATGAGCGCACTTGTGTATGTTCATCTCAAATTACTATCTCAGATATTTCTCAGGTTCCTCTATCTCTTCTGAGTAAGGATCTTGGAAGACTCAGAGCTATATTTTCAGCTACATAAATTGGAATAACATTGATTTAGACAAGGGCTTTGAAGATTTATAACAGATGTTGACAGAGTTTTTGCCTTCTTTATTGGGTGTCATCAACTATATGCTGTTTCCTACGTGCTGGTCTTTCAATCATCCAACTGTCAGTATTAGATTAAATTATAGTTTCATAATACTTCGCAAGATCCAGATGCTAAGGTATGGCATTCTTCTGCAATACCATCAAACATTGCAGTTCAGAAATTCTTTCATTTATTTTCTTTTACATTCACTACCCTACTTCTGGAAATACTGAGGCTATCAGTTAACACAGAAAACAATTTTTTTTTTTAATTAAGGCCTTGGCGGATTAGAGAATATAAAACTATACTGAACGTATTTTGTTTAAAAAACGTACTTATTTGTAACTTGTAAGTCTCAGCCATAGCGATGTAATGGTATTCCTAATGGGTAAAATATCTGAGCTCCTTTTATAGGTAAAGAATGATGCTTATATCTTTTCCTAATTAGAATAAAAACTACAATATGCTTGAATTAATATATCTGCCTAAAATCTCTTTGCCTTTTCAGTAGAAGATGGTGCTTTTCCACTCATGTTGCTAAAACTTCAGCCAAGTTCTGTAGCGTTTTGAAAACAATACTCGAGTCAAAAGATGGCTGCACTCTAGTGACCTATCTTGCGTGCCTGATCTGTGAGGATGGGAGAATCTACCTTATGCTTCCTACATACACAACAGTACGAAAGTGCTAGGTACAAGTCATGTAAAATCAGAATAATTAGAATACCATGTATATTTATAAATACTCAACCTGAGAAAAATAGTAACAAATTCTGCTGCTCCCCTTTCACAATAGGTATTGCTACATGCGTGCATCAAGAACTCATCCCTGGATAACTGACTTATAATCAGTCACTTGCTATAAAAGAAGTAGTGTCACTATAAGAACTGCCAGGAGCCTCATCTGTTTTGAAAAAGCATTTACAGTATGCAGCACTTACCCTGTGTCAGTATTCTATTTTAAAGGCATTGACAAGAGCCATAGAGCTAAAAGGAAGTTAAAGTGACGAGAGTTGGGTTAAAAACTGTGGGCTGTCGCTTGCCATGTGTTTTAAGCAGATTACAATCTAGAGGGAGTTTTACCTAAATATCCATGACACAATTAAAAATAATCTTGTTTCTATTATTAATAAGGCCTTAGGGTCAGATCATCAGTGTAACAAATGTATTGAAGTTAGTGGAGCTATATGCACTTAATACCAGCGGGGGTTATTAAAATATTACAGCTGAAATAATTTCATGGCTAGATTTACTTTGTTGATGTTTATACTACTGGTTCATTTTTAAATTTCTTTGAAATGGACAACAAAATTACTCTTACTCAGTTAGTGCCATTCTCACACACTAGCATGGTGCTCACAGGATGCCTTCTAGATACTCCATGAGAATATGTGAATCAGAATAACCTGCAGTTTCATTTACAAACAGTTGTCACTGAGCGACCAAAAGCTCTTGCTAATATTAGGATTTTTTCATGCAGATTAAGGGACTAGAGCATCTCTCATGAGAAAAAGCTGAGAGCACTGAGACTGTTTAGCCTGGAGAAGAGAAGGCTCAGGGGGGATCTTACCAATGTGTATAAATACATGAAGGGAGGGTATAAAGAAGGCAGAGCCAGGCTCTTATCAGCAGTGCCCAGTGACAGGACCAGAGGCAATGGGCACAAACTGAAACACAGGAGGCTCTGCTTGAACATCGGGACACACTTATCTCACTGTGGGGTGACTGAGCACTGGGACAGGTTGCTGAGAAAGGTTGTGGTCTCCCTCCTTGGCGATATTTTAATGCCGTCTGAACATGGGCCTGGGCAACGGGCTCTGGGTGGCCCTGCTTGAGCAGGGGGGCGGACCAGATGAGGTCCTTTCTAACCTCAACCATTCTGTGATTCTGTCAACCTACATTTTACCTTTAAATTTCCCAGTGATTACTTTGAACACACATGTTCTTCAAATTACATTTTGTCAGACTGACAGAGGCTGATGGAGCAAGGGAAACAATACAGACATAAGAACTAATGTTGCACGGGCTGTATGCTTGGGTGTACGATTCAGCATGCTGTAAATGAGTCCAAGTTCTGCTTGTGTCAGTCTGATATATGCTCTTTAGATCTAAAGTCGTCCCACATCCTCCAGCATAGCAGCCATCTCCCATTGCCCTCTTTTATGTCCATCAAGAATATTAAGGGAGAGGAGAAATAACAAACTAAAAAATATTATACTACCTGTAATATTTTCATTTCTTTTTTATCTGGTGAAGACAAAAGTGTGAATATTAGAAGATAGTATAGCAGTCCGCAGTTAAAAATGATGACTTTGTAAAGCAGACCTTTGTTTTCATGGCACTTTACAGGCCAGTTTATGATAACTCCTTTGAGCCATTCCTCTGGACTTCTGTACATCAGATCCAGTGCTTTAAAGTTACATGAAAGACGGTGAGAAAATTTCATTCATCCTTGATCAGCAGTTGGGATTATATATGGCCTAAAATATTATTCATTTATTGTACCTGAAAAAGGAAGACCAGCACAGAAAAGAGACATTGGAAGGGATTAACTTTTCACAGTGTAAGCAGTAAAGATGAAAAGAAAGTAAACTACTATTAGTTGATTCAGCATCTTCATTTCCTGACATAAGCTGCTATAAAGCTTGTTTTAGTAAGAAAAAGACTTTGTAAAATTAAGCCATTGATTTGTAAAATTCAAGGGGCATAACAGCTCATCAAAAAGCTTATCTTTACTTTGCACCAGGCCAGAGTGGGTGCCTAGCTGACTGAATGGCAACATACTCATGTACTAATATCAGTCTGGAAGTCATTCCTAAATCTAAAGCTGAAGAAAATGGTTTTTCATCCACACTCTGACTCTGTACGCATCTCATTTCAAGCAGATATTTTGAAGAATATATTTGTATCTGTCCATATCTGGAGTTCAAGCATTGTGAGAACTTCAGCAGAGTTCGTTATCAGCAGTAGCAAACAGATTACTGCTGTTTGAACTACGAAAAGAATAGATAGTTCTCTTGCACACTAGACAAAGGAGAGAGGAAGTCACCGTTGATAAACTGGGCAAAACTATGAAGTGCTTCATCCCTAACAAAACTGTCCATTACATAGGTTAGGGAAAGCAACTCCAAGCAATGAATCTCAAATGACAGAGCAAAGAAACGCATCTCTTTCAGAGCTAAGTACTACCAGTTCTAGAATAAAAAGTACATATATCCCAAAATCCTTTCTATCTGAGCTGAAATCTTTCTCCCAGCTGCTGCAGGACCATTGCATTCTCCTAATGTGGAGTGATCTGAAAGAGAAGCATCAGTCAACTTGGACAGCAGATCCTTAAAGAACTTGTCAGGCAAGTGAGGTATTAGCCTGTCTTCACTATCTTCCAGCACACTACTTGAAAATGGTTTCTAGAAATTTATCAATATTACTAGAAAAATCTGGCAAGTATTTAAATTCCACCAAGGAAAGAGGCAATCTATGTGTTCTGTGTGAATGAGTGTACTACAGCAGCTGAACAAGAGAGAACATTAGAAATATTATTTTTGCACAGCAGTGCCAAAAGCTCTAGCAGCAGTGCAAAAAGCTCAGCAGCATCTTTAAGTCAGTGTCCATTGAGATACCGATTTCAGGTCACACTTGTAGAGAGAGTGCACTAACCTTTTGACAAACATGTGTAGCAGTAAGATGTGGAAAATCACTTTTTGCATCTCCTGTTTCTTCTTTATACCTGCTAATGATTCTTTTTGGACTGTGACAGTTGTTATATGAAACTTTTAACCTGGTAAATGGAAATATCATTTTGATACCAATGACTGAGATGGAGTACATTTCATTTTCCTTGAAATAACCTTTTGGGGGCAAATGTCCCAGATGTCACTGCCATTCAAGAAAACTTTTCCTTGAGAAAAAGACAAGGAATATCCTGCAAGGTCAGTGAACGATCTGGCCTCTGTCAAACTCCAGGATTATCCAGAGCAGTATCCTTCCCACCTGCCATTCCCGACTCTAAGTGAAGCTTACTGTAAATACGTTTTGTATTTTGAAATGTAATTGAAAAAGCAGTAGGCTTAATACATGGCAACCTTTTGAACATCAAAACACTTATTTCCTCTCTGGGAGTTTTAAGCTACGGAAAACGGACCACTCTTTGCATATATTCACATATTAAAGCTGCTCTGTTTCCGTGAATAGAAGTAAAAGGCTGAGGGAGACACACAACAGAAGGACAATTCTATGCAAATGTATAAAAGTCATTTAACATAACAGGATCTTAAATATAAAAGATACACCTATTCTTAATTAGAGAATTGAAATATCTTTCCATAAAGAATTACAAAGTACAGACACAGATCCCAAAACTCCTGTCAATAGTACTCTT